TCCTTGGGCTTCGCCCACGGAAAACATGATTTATCTCGGGGAAACAACTCCTCAGGTCTCCCTCACACCAGGGCGATAAGTATATATTCGTATTACTGTCAGTCTAGCCTTTTTTCAAACTCATTGTTATTCTAATGTTTCAATGTTTTTTTGTTTTTTTTTGTATTGTTTCACAGCCCACCGACAACAAACAACACGTTGAAATAAGCAATCAAAAAAAAGGAAAACATCAAACTAGAAATTAAAAGGTTTAAAAGGTGTTAAAATGTAAAAATGTATCAACAAAGGACGAATTGGTTGTAAATCATATCAAATTTTATTATTAAGATCAATTGAGTGTAAATAATCACATGTTGATTGAACAGAAACGGTATCAAATATCAAATAAACTTTTAACACACAATTCATTATATAATCTGTTACGTTTTTGTTTGAAATCAGCGCATTCAATCATAAAATGTTTGACTGTATCACACTTTTGTAATAACAGCATAATAATAATAACAAAATGAAAGTAAAGCTTGATATCATATATCGATTATATATTCCCGTTTACCACAACAACAATATTTCCAAAATGTCCATTTTACAACAGATATATAACACATATGAATATATATATGCATTTATTAGATTTTTAAGTTTGAAATTATATGTATCAAGATCTAAATAATATATGATATCAAAATACATAAAATAAAGGAAATTGGTTTATTTTAAAAACCGAAACCTATACACTGCAATCAAGATTCCAAGAACAAATGTGTTTTTTTTTATAGCAAATCCACCACAGTCAATATAAATGTAACATTGTTGTATCCATTTCACCATGAACCCATATTATTAATCCATGTATGTCGATAATATCCCTCACGCCGACAATGCTCTGATTTTTGTTTGTTATTGTTAAAAAAAAAAATTATAACACAAACTTGATTTTTCATTTTTCATATGAAGCCTTATTTTTTTTCGTACGAAACGTCGAACCATTTTGAATGACCATGCTCTAGAATGGTTTAATAAACGAGCGGCCCAGAGGGCGTGTATCTCTCACCTGGAAATGTAAGCAAAATTGAAGTTGAAATTGCCAGATGTTGGATGTTCCTGGAAGTGTACATGTATTGGTTGACATGGTTAGTCAGGGGTTATATTAATATGCAATCAGTTAAAGCATTCCTACAGGAAAAGTAGAATTTGAAGAATTGGAAATGTTTCCTAAATTGGGCCCCGCCCCTCTGCCCCCAGGAGGGTAAGACACACCACACCGTTGATACAAATTTAGGTCCCTTTCACCCAAGGATGCTTTAGACCAAATATGGACATAGTCCTATCATTCCTACAGAAGAAGAAGGATTTTAAAGTTATTTGTCTATTTTCCTTATTTAGCCTTTCCCCTTTGCCCCCAGGGGGTTCAAACTCACCATTTATTCAAAATTGATTTCCCTTCCCCAAAGAATGCTACTGTTCACATTTGGTCAAAATACCTTCAGCCCGACGGCAGAAGAAGGATATTAAAGCTATTCCTCTATATCCCTAATTTGGCCCCGCCCATCTGCCCCAAGGGGGCCAGACCCAACATTTATACAAAATTGGTTCCCCCTCACCAAAGAGTGCTTCATCCCAAATTTGGACAAACTCTGATCATTTCTACAAAAGAAAAAAGATTTTGAAGAATTTGCTATGTTTCTTAAAACAAAAGGGTGCTCCAGACTGAATAAATGATAAATCCCTAATCCATATAGTAGAAGTATTTTAAAGGGTTTACCTCCTCTTTTTCCCCATTGGGCCCCTCCCGTATGCCCCCAGGGGCATACCCACGATTTATTCAAAATTGAGTCCCCTTGGCCTAAGGATGCTTCAGACTAAGTTAGGGTAAAACCCCTAATCTCTGCTGTAGGAAAAGGATTTTAAAGGTTTTAAATCTATTTCCCCTATATGGCCCCTGCCATTCTGGCAGGTGAGCTAAGAATTGACAAACTTTGATCATTGTCCAACTGGTCAACATAATGAATATATTATCTAGGACGAAGTTTATAAGCACTGCGGTTTGTAGTTCATCAATCATTGGCTAAACAATATGAATACTGCATCCTTTAAAATAATACGCTAAAGCTATTGTAGATTTTAAACTTACAACATCAATGATCAATAAAGAAAGCTGAAAGAAACATCTTTGAAAACTAAGACATGTCACAATGATTCGCGGAAACTGCAACGATGAATACTAGAACTAAACTCATACTGTGTGAACTGTTTTTTCGTTTTGGTCAAAAAAGAAAAAACGCAAGCCTGCGAATTAGGCAAAAACTGCTATATATATATGTGTGTGACGTTCTGAGCCTATGTATAGCAATATCAGAGTTCTACCTTTGACATATTGACCAAGCAATGCAACGTATGAGGAACAATACTTATGAGACACATTTACCACAGAGTTGTTTTGCGGGAACAATTAAAGATGAACAGAGTAACAAACGTTTTAAGTATATCCTCCCTGATCTTCAGTGCATAATGAACGTTAAACCATCATGTGTCTCATAGTCCAGTGGCTTAGCCCCAAATTTTGACGATTTCGATACACGCTGGTCCAAAGCACCAAAATTGGTACAAATGCTCCTTAGGTAATACAAAATCATTCTGCAGGTATGTGCCCGACCTACGACTTCCGGTTTAGGATTTTTCAAGATGGCCGCCACCACCATTATCAAAAATAACCTTATTTACTATAACTTGGAAACTAAAGCATATACTTAGTCAAAACCAGTGTCTATACCCACTATTTCAGGGTCAACGAATGTGATGATAGTACTTTTATTGTAGCTGATGTCATATTTGGACGTATTTGCTCATATTCCAAAATAGATGTCCTCTCCATTATCAGAAATCAACCGTTTTTAGATGCTCGTAGCATCTCTTGGAACGACCCTGTTCGTGTGTTTGTGTGTATGTCGCATGGATTTATTTAAGATGACGTCATCATTATGCGTGTATATCAGCTCATACCGCCATTCGAATGTTCCGACATTCGCACGTTAATAACTTCTGGTAAGAGGCTCCCCATTTCTCCTGCCAAGTGCGTGGTGACGACAATGATGAGTTCTTCATGCATGAAAATCACCCATGGCCTCCATCTCTGAGCGACCACGGCAAACTGCGATTACCAACCTGCAAGTCCCAGCTATTGGATCTCTTGAACTGTGCAAAGCCAGAAGTTCCCCCTAACTTTGATTGCAAAGTCTTTGGTGGCCCAGCAGTGGTACATTCACTTTCACGAGAAGATGCGTCAACGTTTGGCCAGTATAGTGAGGTCGTCTTCAGACGCTGGACCATTCGTCAACTTCAGAACTGTCAGCGCATTGATGTTGTATGGGATGCATACAAGAATGACAGTCTGAAGGAGGCAACACGTGAGAAAAGAGGCAAAGGGGTCCGGAAAAAGGTTTCGTCACAGACAAAGCTACCAAAGGACTTTGGTGCCTTTCTACAAGACTCGCAGAACAAAGAAGAGTTGTTTGCCCTACTCACAGAAGATGTAGCAGCGACTGATTATCCTCCAGACAAGGTAGTTCATATTACCGCAGGGCAATCAGTTGTCACAAAGGGCGACAGTGATCAGATGCCAGTATCTGACCAAGAGGAGGCCGATACGAGAATGTGTCTACATGTTGCAGATGCTGCCAAAAAAGGAGCAAGAGTTATCATGGTCAGCAGAGTGGATACAGACGTTGTGGTAATTCTTATTGGCATTTATTTCCAACTGGTAAAGATGTACATCACTCTTCAGCTTTGGGTAGCATTTGGAAAGGGCAAGAACTTCCGCTACTTCCATATCAATTCAATTTGCTCTGAGCTTGGAGAAGACGGATCATGTGCCCTTCCATTCTTCCATGCCTTCACTGCGTCTGATACGACCTCTCAGTTCCTTGGAAAGGCAAAGAAATCATGCTGGGAATGTTGGAGGTCATGTCCATCTGTCACAGAGGCATTCATGTATCCAAACGTGCACTCATTTGAACCAATGAGTGCCATTTCACCACAATTTGAACTCATAGAGAAGTTCATATGCAAACTGTATGATCGCTCGTCAGGCTCTAGCAGTGTAAATGACCTACGGAGAGACCTGTTTCCACGAAAGACACCAATGATGCAAAATCTGCCACCAACTCAGGCTGCTTTGATCGAACACACAAATCGCAGTGTTTATCAGGCAAGTATCTGGCTGCAGTGCTTGGAAGCTGAGCAGAAATTACCCAGTCCAGAGCGATTTGGTTGGGCGAAACAGAACAATCAATGGCAACCAGTTTGGACGACACAGCCAGAAGTCTATAAAACATGCAGGCAGCTTATCAAGTGTGGATGCAAGGCAGACCCCGTCTGCACAAGAAAATGTGTTTGCAAGAGTACGGGTCTCAAGTGCACAGCACTGTGCTATTGTAGAGGACTTTGCACTGACTGAAATTACATTCAAATTATTACTAGTTGACTGCGCATATAGTAGTAATATAGACGCTGGTTGAATGGCGTCAATGTGAAAAATGGTCATATATGGACAAATATGGCCAAATATATCATCAGTCGCTATTAAACTAGTTTATTGCACTGAGACTCAATAGGATAGGGGATGTAGACATTACTGCCTCTACAAATCTGTGAGCGTTGAATCAATTGTAAACAGTCTACTTTTGATAATGCAGGCAGCATCCATTTTGCAATATGGCCAAGTATGGCCACATATGGCATTGGTCATCCTAAAACTAGTATAATCACATTGCTTGACCATGCAATAGTGGATATGGACACTCGTTGCTCATCTCTAACTCCTTTTGTTTTAAAGTTATTGTAAAACGGTTATTTTTTTTATAATGGCGGAGACATTGATTTTAGTATTTGGCCAATATGGCCAAATATGGCCAAATATGACATCGACCCCTATAAAAAGTACTATCATCACATTCGTTGACCCTGAAATAGTGGGTATAGACATTGGTTTCGTCTTTGTATATGCTTTAGTTTCCAAGTTATAGTACATAAGGTTATTTTTGATAATGGTGGTGGCGGCCATCTTGAAAAATCCTAAACCGGAAGTCGTAGGTCGGGCACATACCTGCAGAATGATTTTGTATCATCTAAGGAGCATTTGTACCAATTTTGGTGCTTTGGACCAGCGTGTCACAAAAATTTTGCTAAGCCACCGGACTATCAATATCTAGACGGTCTTTAGCCATTTTTGTAAAATTGCAATGAAGTAAAGTTAATTAAAAAATACAAGGTATTTGGATATTTATATAGGTAACCAGCAGTGTTCGTGTAATATATGATGTTGTTTACAATAAATGGTTACGTTATAGTTGTAATGAGATATTACAAACATTTTGTTTTGTAAAATGACGTTTTGTTTTATATTTATTGATATCTTACTAAATTTGACGATTTTAACGAAATTCACTCGATAAAACTTTGAGAAGGATATTTTGTCCAACATCATTGTATAGGTATCTCTATTTCGATTAATGCTTAATATTTAAATCATATGATTTGTCAATTTCACAAGGAAAATGTATCAACTCTCAAAAATATCAGAGTTATGTAAGAATTAATGCATCAAATTAAAACATTCTATCACATAATAAGACACCACCCTTTTTTCTCCTCTCCGAGTTTCTCTAAATCTGCTTTTAAATTCGAAATTTCTGTATTGCTTGCATAAGATATATTTTTATTCGCCTGCAACTGCCTTTCAATTTCTCTTCCCATTTCAGTAAATTTTGCTTGTATCTTTATTTCTGACTGAGCGTCTCGCAACTTAGCCTGTATATCATATTTTTCTTGTTCCATCCTTTTCACCCTTTCCTTATTATGTATTCTTTGTTCTTCCATTTTATCACTTATATCTTTAATTCTATTTTCGTTTGAAACAGCACGGTAATTACTCTGCTGTAGCTCATAATCTAAGCGCTTATTTTGTTTTTCCATTTCCTGATGAAGTTTTCTGTACTCAGCACTTACTTCATTCCTGATTTGCTCTTCATGTAATCGCTTTTGCTCTTCTTTTTCTCGCTGACGTTCCAGTTCACGTGACCTGAAGACTTCCACTGCTTTCTTATACAATGCATTGGTATAATGAGAACCACCATTACGTTCAACGATTCCATCAACCATATCCAGCAATTGTTTTGCATCATTGTCCCGTTGTGCTCTCGGTTTAGTATTGTCAAACGCAATATGCTGATAATTGCACATACCTAACAAGTCCCGAAGATGTTTTGTGCTATACTTTATAAATGTTTCTAAACTTTCCGACTGTCGTTCTAAATTGTCTCGTCCTGTAAATAACACAACAAGATATTTATACATGTCGTCACCAAACAGATCAGCAAGGTGTCCAACTGCATCTCGTTCTTCTTTTGTAAACCTTCCTATGGTGACAACAAGGATAATAGCGTGAGGACCCGGTATCGTCATACTGACTAATCTGCTGACCTCTTCTTTAGTCTGTTCTATGCTGAGGTCAGTATCGTACATGCCTGGCGTATCAACAACTAAGATATTTTTTCCGAATCGACGCGCGTTGTCAGATTGACACTTATCAGTCACCGAGGCACCTGCAACTAAAGATTTAAAGGCGTCTGTCCCAAGTATAGTATTGCCTGTCGCACTCTTTCCTACTCCTGTTTTGCCAATCAAAACGATTCGTAACTCGTCCTTCAACTCCCGGTCGTAGATCTGGGCTGGAAATTGATGAGTATGCATTTAACAGTGTAAACAATCTTACGTGTGAACCTATTTTTAATATTTAATAGGGCATGTTGCCACACAAGTTTATACCTCATACGTTGTGATGGGGTTTTGTAAATCAATAATAATTAAACCATGTGTGTTATACTTGTTGCAGGGAGTAAATTTGTTTCTGTCTTCGTTATATCTTGTTCATCATAAGTTTAACCTGCCATAGCTGTTAAAAGTAAAATGCCATTTTTGTATTTTGATCAGTTTTTGCGAAAATTCTACATATATATTTCTGTATTATTTTAAGATTTAATCTGGTTTCTTAACATTAATGAAAATACATTAGAAATAAATCTTTCACACTGAAATGTTTACATTACTAAGCGTGGTTGTTTCATGTATACGGTCTGGGAAATTTTCCTCCATCGATACTTTTAGTAATTTTGTAAAAATTTAATCGAAATCCTAACTTTGGATATCAATATAAATGCGGAAAGTTAAACAAAATTTGGCCAAACATATGTGTCGCTCGACTTGACCAATCGCATTTTTGAGGGTAAAATCTAAGTAACAGTGGTTTTATGCTATTTGAGAGAGTTTTTCACCAGTACAACCCGTTGTAGATGTGAACCTGTTATACCCTATTCATTACTACGTATCGTAATTCAAACACACATGACTAGGAACCTGTATCGTTGTAGTCATATGTTATATGGTGTGTACTTCTGCTTATATGCTGTTCTATAATTTCCTTGGAAATTCATTAGATCATTCGTCAGTGGGTAAGCACAAGAATTTGTATCTGCCCTGCAAATATGAATTCTTACCCGACTATATTGACACTTAAGTAAGGTAGGCTAAGACTCTTTCCACATCTTTAAGCCGCCAGTACCACATTTCTTTACCTCAATAACCTACAATGTGACAGGCTCTTTTCCTTACATTTCTTTCCCAGAACTTTAGTAAAAAAAATATGTGAATGTAACAATTAATGTTTTATTATATCAAACATAAAAAGTTGTACCTTTGTTTCAAAAACTGTCAGTCATTGCTCTATTGATTCTTCATATTAAAACAAATAAAGCTGTATTTTTCATATCTGGAACTCAATGATATGTCTAATATAAAAATTAAACTGGTGTCACTGTTTTTTTTTTTAAATCTCAATTTAGCTTGACAATTTAAGCATGGTTTTAAATAGCTGAACATAAACGAAGTAAAAGTGCAAGGTTATCTTACTTATTTCCCGCAGCATTTAATACATTGATATTACTTTATTTGTTTAAAAGAGTTCCAAATAGGGCCACTTATGTATTAACAAACACATTCTTATTTAAGCACGTTCTCAAATATTTAAGAATGCCTTTGAGCTTCACCATTTTGAGAACTTCTCATCTTGGCACGGAATAGAATTATTCCTCTCAGACAAACTAGCTTTTCAACCAACCTTTATGTAGAACTAATAACTATTTTGACAGTTTTTTCCCTCAAATGTGCATTAACATTGCAAATTCTGATCTTCTTAATTCTCCCTCTCCTGCAGCATTAAAAAAATATTTGAATAAAGATATTATTTCTGATAGTGAATCTGTTTCAATTTTCAAAACAGAAGGTAACCGCAGAGCAAGTATTTTTTTATGTCGACTTCGAACTCTTGCAGTAATTTAAATTATGATTTACACCATGACCATCTTACTAATAGTCCTGCTTGTACCTGCTCTGCTGAACATGAAACAGTATCTCATTGCTTTTTGGAATGTCCCATTTTTAATAATCAAAGAACAACTTTGTTCACTTCTCTTAATAGTTATGGAAACCACAACCACATTGATAAAAAACATTCTTCTCCAGGGCTGTCCTGATTGTGATGGGCTTACAAATAGAAGAATACTTGATGATGTGCATATTTTTATTGGAAAATCCCGTCGTTTTAATTTTTATATGACTTAAAGCCAGGATGTTTACAAAAATATACTATATATTGTATATTTCATCCAGGAGATTCTAGTTGAGCATGACTACTGTCTATTGCGTGTACTTATCATGACATTGTAAATAAATACACTTTATATGTATTAAATGAATTTATTATTTTTAATTGTAACAGTTGTTGGTAGCAGTGACCTGTGCAATATATGCACATGGACTTTTGGTCTAAGTCTGCCAATATCTGTCTATGATAGGGTATATATATGCTGAAATAAATGTATTTGTACATGTACTTGTATGTGTGTGTAAGTGTGTATGAGGTGTGTGAGATGTTTCCTTCATGAGTTACTTCCCCTTAGCCTTGTGTTATTATGAATTATTTTGTGTTATTTTTTTCATTTGCAACATGTCTAAAATATTATGTCTCCTTGTTTATTCAACTTTGGCCATTTGACGGAGAGAATTTATATAGGCTTTGCCTGTTATTCAATCCAATTGATTATGACATTTTGTCAATAAAATTTGATGCAATGAAATGAATAGAATTAAGAATTGTAAGTTAAAAATTAAGAATAATGAAGTTTCCAGATTCTGGGGCTAGGAAGCTGCTCAATTAGTTAAAGTAATTTCCATTAAAACTATTGACATTACTCCTGCATTTTTTATTTACGACATATAAATATTGTTATCAAGCATATAAATCATGTTCCAAATGGTTGGTAAACAATTCATACTATTATTAAATAGAGTCTTCAATATAACATCAAAAATGTATATAATTTGTCTATAAATAGTTTATGTCTATATTACCCCCTTACTTCAACAAAGTGTTCCTGATTACAAATAGTAGTAGACAAACTGTTATACATACCTGTACTTTCAGTCACGTCTGAAGATTGTTCGTATTGATGTACAGCTGTATCGGATTGTCCATCGCCATCAGAAGTACGAACTGGCATGTCTGTATTTTACAATACCAATATATGAAACGCATAAACGTTAATTTCAGGAAACAAAATATTGTTTAATAATGATGTATGTATCTGTCTGATTCAATGTATGTAAGTCTGTCTCAATGTTTGTATATGTATACTGTCTAGTTGTCGGTCTGTCGGTGTCTGTCTGTCTGTCTCAAACAATGCATATGTGTACATGTATGTGTAGTATGAGTTTAGATGTAGATGTATTTACATGTGTATTATGTTGGTTTTTGTGTATGTATACTAGTGCTACGTTTATTTTTGCAGTTTACGTGTTTCTTGAATTTGTTAGGGTGTCACAGAAGTATGTTTTGGTTCTGTACTCTATTTGCAAATATTTTATTTTCCCATCGCCCTTACTATTTTTTTCACTCTATACAAATTAACTAAATGGAGAAGAGAATGAATGATGAATGTTGAATGTTAAAAGAGAACCCTTCTGCGTGAGGACACGATATTGTAAATGGGGTTGACTCCAGGGCTCCCCAACCCTGGCGGCCACTATCAAAATATGTATATATGTTTATATATATATATCTGTGCTAGGAAGCAGTATACGTATATACATATTTAGGAAAAAAATGCTGGGGAAATATATATATGAAAAAAAAAATACTAACCCGTCGTAAATTAAATATCACATACTAAGTAACAAAAATACTCACTTAAGTCAATTCGCGAGATTATTCATTTGGTGATTCACCTGTGTATTTCAATATCTCTATTTCTGTGTTACATTAAAGGTTATGGGAAACTTGTGTAAAATATCGAAAAGAGGTTGTAATGCTGAAAGCGAACGAGGCCAGGAATAATATTAAGAACGTATAACGACATGAAAAAAAATCTGGATTCATAGCACCTGGTCACAGGTCTAGTTTACACAGAATTGGAGCCGATTACTTTTTTGTATTTCTCTTTAATCAATCGTCAATAACTAATCGATTAACAATTTGCAATTATTCATCTTGAGAAATAATTGTTTGGTTTCAATCTAAAACGTCATTATTGACGGATGTGAATAACTATCTTCAGTATGATAATATGTAACAAGAAGGACCAGTGTTCTTTAATCACTATGTAAAATACGCACACAGATAACTCTTTAAACACGGCAATATTGATAGAACTACTTTCACACCATCGGTTTGTTTTTTTATAAATACGCCATATATGTATTAGTGTCAATGCATAAGAATTTATGAAAATTCATAATAGAACCAGGACGCTGCTAAATTATTTGGAGTAATTTATGTTAAAACTATTGACTTTATATTAAAGTAAATAATATTATAATAAACTAAATATTACTGTGGAAAAAACAGTATGCACTACGTGCATACTCACCTGTAAACTGAATAACTGTACACACATGTAGTATATATATATATCTGTAATTGTATGCAGTGTATGACATTTTTTCATAGACAAGAAATCCCAAATGCAATGATTCCATTTTGTTGTTGATAAATGAATCTGCCACAATTGCATTGTACATACAAACATGTTCATATACAAGTTATTCATACTATATGTATGTATATATATATACATATCAAGACAACCCATTCTACATTCTACATGTATATTAAAAATGCATGCCCTGTGAACAATACAATCGTATAATCAAACTGTAAAACTAATTTGTAATATACTCTAAAACAATCTGAAATCGAATGCAGTCTATTCCACCTTGTTTAATATAAGTTCCATTCTCAGGCACGGTGTTTATAATGGCTACCTGCACTACTATATGTAAATTTTTAACTTGACCCAAAGGTCTTGGATATATTGAATACACAGTTGGTTCGATATGATGTTGAAATTTTATATAATGAATCTTACATGCCATATAGCTATACTCATCCTTCATCTGATTATCTACCATGGTACATGTACATGCATATATATATATATAATTTTATTTTAGCATTTTAGTATATCCCAAGAGACTGAATTCTAAGAATATAAATGATACATAAAGGTTGGTACATGAGTACATTACGTGGGGAATCTACCACAAAAAATGTTCATAAATCATAATTTTTTCTTTTAAAGGGGCATCACGCCGAAGTAACTCTTTTGTGTCTTTTTTTTCAAATACTACATAAACATATCAAGTGAGACTCCTTATGGAAAATAACGATCGGATTTGGCTGAAATAGATTCATAAAAATGATTAAATCTAAGATAATCATCGGTATTTCTACATGTCTGACCAACGTTTTGTTCAGGGATTACCCTCTACTAGCACATGCGCATAGCACACCATTTCTTTGTAAACAAAATGACTGGCCGTGTGAAGAAAGCGAAAGAAAAGTGTTGTACAATGTCAGCTATGAAGCGAAAAGTTGCCAAATGGTCAAAAGATAGCGCAAAGGGTACGTTACGGAATCATTATTGCCAGTGGGAAGTATTCAAAGCAGAAAATGACTGCCCTAGCAGTTAGTATGGTGCATGTATTCTTCCGTATCGACAGAAATGCTAGCACTGTTTATGTTAATAATAAATATCTAAAACTATTAACCTCGCTAGTAGTAGTATCATTGTGTGAGTTTGAACACAGATGGACTTAGTTTAATATGTTAATGGGCATGTATCGGAGAGAGTTTACTTTGTGTTTCTATTATTATACAGTGGTTTATGCGAAAGGAAGGGATAAATAACTGGTTAGTTTGATTTTGTCATGAGGCCCTCCAAGGGATAACTGTTGTGATGGCCACAGCGTATTTTGTTCTGTCCTTTGTTGGTTCTCGGGGTAAAATGAAATACGTGCGCTATTAGATTTACATAATTTATAATATTACCGGGATCAGTAAAATGGTATGATTTAATTATATTGCTTAATTAAACGGGTTTTGTTTGTTTTGACATGCAAGATTTAAATTAGTATTAATATAAATACCTGGCCTCCTCTGGCACGACGACACAATATATAAAAAAAATCAGCTCTTCGTCAGAAAAATGTCAAAATGACGGACCAGAATGAATAACTGAGGAAGGAGAACCTACTTTTAGTAAATAGGATCGCATTATGATTTTTTTCAATCGTAATTTTACAACAGTTCATGTTTCCATTTGATGTTGACTTAGCATGCATTATCATGTAACAACCTTTTCTCTATGAAGAATTAATTTTTGACTTCAGGTAGAATCGGAATACGTTTTGAAAACAGGGGAAAAAATATTTTATTACGTTGTAAAAAGGGCGCGTGCTGCCGATAACTACGGCTTCTGTTTCGGACAAAAGGAACTGATTAAAGACAAGAAAAGGTCCATCTACAAGTATGCTTCAATCTCTGTAAAATATTGAAAAAATATAATTATCAAGTATCTCAACACTTTCCATATCTGACACACATTGTACATGTACACGGAATGGTTTTGCCATACAGTTTAGTTTGTGTGATGGCTAATATGACTTACTAAGTGTTAGCGTATGGAGACAGTTAAAGTATGAAAGAGAGTATACATACATTTATATGCATGGTCTAGAAAATAAATAAATGGCCAAAGACATTGAGTTGTGCAATAAATTAAAAAAATCCAAAACGTTTCTCTCTTTTTATACGTGTGTAGTTTGTCATTACATATATGCACTTTGTGTCACATTCCGGTACTAAATTCAATATATATTTATATATATATATACTTTATGTTCATGCCTATTATCATTGTTGACATTTAATTGTAAATGTATGACGGGAGAAGACTGTGATAAATTGTAAAAACGTGTGCCCCATCCCTTGTTCAATTTTATTGGCAACAAATATAAGTTTAAAGCTAAATCAATTTAAATTTTGAATATTGGCAAGTGTGCAATTAACTTCTGATGATGAATAAGTATTGTTCAATAAGTTTGAATACGGACTTAGAAATCATATTACTTGGTTTCATAGTGCGGTAAGAAGTTGCAGTTGCCTGACGGCCCCTCTCTGGGGACCCCTTTTGGAACCGTTTCATCTCGCTCACACCACTTGTGTTTTACTGCCTTGTCAGGTGACGCTTTCCCGAACAATTCAAGTGGTCAAACTGGACATTTGGAACGGACTATGAATATTGGGATAGCGAGGTAACATAAGTGGAAGTACATACAATACATTAATCTCACTCTGGGCATTCTTCATTTTATATTTGCATATATCAGTATATGGCATAGTGAATCCCTGTGTTCAATACAATAAATAACAAAGTTGACTTACCGACACTATGAATATTCAATCCTATCACTCTTTATATATAAGTCCTCGTATGTAAACATAGCACCTTCGCTATTTGTAAGTCGTGCACATTGTGATACATGTACACGTGTTTTCGTCATGTCAACAAGCTTGCCTCCCACGTGCATGTGTACGTGTTTTGCTATATACATGAAATTAAATATTCGATTTTATTTAAAATAATGATCCTATTTCTTTCTTGCGTCTACTTCTATTACATAGTAGAGTTAAACTCTGATACCCATTATCATCGATTTGTGGAACTAAATGTTGGCGATCCAGTACGTGACCATAATTGCAGGTGCTAGTTAGATCACAGACTGAGATATAATGTCAGTGGTTAGTTAGATGTATATACTATATTGTTGTTATTTTTTTATAATTATTTATTTTAAAATGATATCAAATTTTTTTTTGATGTATGATCACTGTTAACCTATCTGCAGTTGCAATGAAATTTAAAACCACTTAATACGTTCGTTTGTTTAAATCTGGTTAAAGGAGCTATACAAATATTATTTAGAAATGCCACAATCAACATCGCTTTAGGCGTTATATACAGGATATATACCTCAATTTACCTTCTGTCTAATGAATTATTCTTGCAAACATAAACAAAGTAAGTGTAATATATACATGCATGCATAGTCATCAGGAGCATCGATTGGCTTTTGAGATCCACCGGCAGAATTGGGGATGGTTCTTTAGTCTTCCATTTAGGAGACATTGAAGAAATCATTAATCAACTTGTTGTATCCCACTGTATGTGTATCGTAAAAAGTGACTTATGTGGAACTCCCTACATAATTTTTAACTTTTAACCATTTTCCTCCTTTGGGCCCCACCCCACCAGCCTCTGGGGATGGGGCATGATCTTATTTTTTCAAACAATCTAATTGCCATCAGGCACCATAATCATTCAAACAAAGTTTTAATAATTTACTGCTGAAAAAAGACAAAATATTCTCAAAAGTGGTATTTCCCTTTATAAACTAAAGTAAACTTTACACTCTCCTCAAGCGAGGATAGATGGCCTGTGATTAATGAAATTAAAAGTAAATAAAGCTCCTGATGGATTTTTCATCTATGCACAGAATTTGATTGTAGTACATCTGTGTCTAAAGAAAAATTTCGAAATATTGGTAGCTCTTCCCTTTGGTACCCCGCCCTAGCCCCTTGGGATTGGGCATGTCATGGATCCCAATTTTACAACTTCATACCTTCATACACCAAATATGATTCTGACCAAGTGTGAATAATTTCCTGCAGAAAATTGACAAAATATTTCGAAAAAAGTTTTTTCCCTATATAAACTATAGTCAACTTTACCCCTGCCAAAGTTAGAACGGGAGGCCTTGGGGTAATTCAATTTACAATTTAGATAATGCGCCTGATGATCTTGTGATCCATGCGCAGGATTTGATTGTAGTACATCTGAATCGGTAAAAGAACATTTTTGAAATGTTGGTTAATTTTCCCTTTTGAGGCCCCGCCATGGCTCCTGTGGTTAGGGCAGGCATCTCATTTTACAATTTGATACCCTCTTGCACCAAGGATTGCCCCTGTCAAATTTAGTGGAAACCCATTCACTTGTTCATGAGAAGGAGCCAAAAATGTAAAAAGGTTACGCACCACACACGACGACGGATGGAAAGCGATCAGAATAGGTCACTTGAGCAAAGTTAAATATCCCCTACTCGGTAACATAAATAGTAACGTTTTAGTTTGAATTGTGATGCATACCAGTATCTTCAGCCACCACGGGAGATTGTTTTTTTGGTGGTACACCTGTACGGGATTGTTGTTCTTTTGGTGGTACACCTGTACGGGACTGTTTTTCTTTTGGTGGTACACCTGTACGGGATTGTTCATTGTCATCCGAGGAACAGGATGGCGTGTCTGCATTATACAATACCAACCCATCTAAAGGTTGTAAAGACATATATGTTACCCTAAATCATAACAATAAATGAGCGAATACAGTTGAAATAAAAATGACAACATATACAACACTACAGTGGTTCCAGTACCGGTTACAAAATCGCATTCTCCCACTAAACAATTACTTGAAAATATTGGTGTTTTGAAAACGGATGTGAATAACTAGTTTCAGTATGATAATATGAAACAAGAATGACTTGTGTTCTTTAAGCACTATATAAAATACGTACACAGATAGCTAGTTCAGCACGGCAATATTGATAGAACTACTTTCACACCATGGGTTTGTTGTTTCATGAATATGCCATATATGTATTAGTGTCAATACATAAGGATTTATGAAAATTCATAATAGAACCAGGACGCTGCTAAAATATTTGAAGTAACTTATGTTTAAACTATTGACATTACTTTTGCATACATTATAAACAAACGTTTCTGATCAAACACATACATCATTTTCCAAATAGTTGGTAAACAGGTCTTGTTATTAATAACTGCAAACTTAAATATTGCATCAACAATTATCTTTGATATATCTGTAATACTTCCGTATTCAAGTGTTCCTGACTACACATAGTTGTAGACAAACTGTTATACATACCTGTACTTTCAGTCACGTCTGAAGATTGTTCGTGTTGATGTACACCTGTATCGGATTGTCCATCGTCATCAGAAGTACGAACTGGCATGTCTGTTTTATATAATTTCAATATTTCAAACTCATCGCTTATTTTTAAGGAGGGAATATATGTCATTCATCAATATGCACTTGATAACTAAAATTTATCCCTTGAAGCTATATTTTCACCAGTGTGTCTGAACGATCTGGCATTAACAGTTACTAAGTTATTCAGGTATTCTACTTTCATTGGTTGCAATGAAATTTAAAACCACTTGATACGTTCGTTTTGTTTAAATCTGGTTAAAAAGCTATTCAAATATTATTTAGAAATGACACAACCAACATCGCTTTAGGCGTTATACACAGGCTATATACCGCAGTTTACCTTCTGTCTAATGAATTGTTCTTGCAAACATAAACAAAGTAAGTGTAATATATAGATGTATGCAAAGTCAACAAGAACATCGACTGGCTTTTCAGATCCACCGGCAGAATAGGGGACGGTCCTTTAGTCTTCCATTTAGGAAACATTGAAGAAGTCATTAAGCAACCTGTTGTATCCCACTGTATGTGTATCGTAAAATGTGACTAATGTGGAACCCCCTACATAATTTTTAACTTTTAACCATTTTCCTCCTTTGGGCCCCACCCTATCAGCCTCTGGGGATGGGGCATGAGTTTATTTTTTCAAACAATCTAATTGCCATCAGCCACCATAATCATTCCAACAAAGTTTTAATAATTTACTGCTGAAAAAGGACAAAATATTCTCAAAAGTGTTATATCCCTTTATAAACTAAAGTAAACTTTACACTCTCCTCAAGCGAGAATAGATGGCCTGTGATTAATGAAATTAAAAGAAGATAAAGCTCCTGATGGACTCTTCATCCATGCACAGAATTTGATTGTAGTACATCTGTGTCTAAAGAAAAAAAATCGAAATATTGGTAGCTCTTCCCTTTGGTACCCCGCCCTAGCCCCTTGGGAATGGGCATGTCATGGATCCCAATTTTACAACTTCATACCTTCATACACCAAATATGATTCTGACCAAGTGTGAATAATTTCCTGCAGAAAATTGACAAAATATTTCGAAAAAAATTATTTCCCTATATAAACTATAGTCAACTTTACCACTGTCAAAGTGAGGACGGAAGGCCTTGGGGTAATTCAATTTACAATTAAGATAATGCGCCTGATGATCTTGTGATCCATGCGCAGGATTTGATTGTAGTACATCTGAATCGGTAAAAGAACATTTTTGAAATATTGGTTAATTTCCCTTTTGAGGGCCCGCCATGGCTCCTGTGGTTAGGGAGGAATCTCAATTTACAATTTGATACCCTCTTGCACCAAGGATTGATCCTGCAAAATTTGGTGGAAACCCATTCACTTGTTCATGAGAAGAAGCCAAAAATGTAAAAAGGTTACGCACCACGCTCGACGACGGATGGAAAGCGATCAGAATAGGTCAATTGAGCAAAGTTAAATATTCTCTACTCGGTAACATAAATAGTAACGTTTTAGTTTGAATTGTGATGCATACCAGTATCTTCAGCCACCACGGGAGATTGTTCTTTTGGTTGTACACCTGTACGGGATTGTTGTTCTTTTGGTGGTACACCTGTACGGGACTGTTTTTCTTTTGGTGGTACACCTGTACGGGATTGTTCATTGTCATCCGAGGAACAGGATGGCGTGTCTGCATTATACAATACCAACCCATCTAAAGGTTGTAAAGACATATATGTTACCCTAAATCATAACAATAAATGAGCGAATACAGTTGAAATAAAAATGACAACATATACAACACTACAGTGGTTCCAGTACCGGTTACAAAATCGCATTCTCCCACTAAACAATTACTTGAAAATATTGGTGTTTTGAAAACGGATGTGAATAACTAGTTTCAGTATGATAATATGAAACAAGAATGACTTGTGTTCTTTAAGCACTATATAAAATACGTACACAGATAGCTAGTTCAGCACGGCAATATTGATAGAACTACTTTCACACCATGGGTTTGTTGTTTCATGAATATGCCATATATGTATTAGTGTCAATACATAAGGATTTATGAAAATTCATAATAGAACCAGGACGCTGCTAAAATATTTGAAGTAACTTATGTTTAAACTATTGACATTACTTTTGCATACATTATAAACAAACGTTTCTGATCAAACACATACATCATTTTCCAAATAGTTGGTAAACAGGTCTTGTTATTAATAACTGCAAACTTAAATATTGCATCAACAATTATCTTTGATATATCTGTAATACTTCCGTATTCAAGTGTTCCTGACTACACATAGTTGTAGACAAACTGTTATACATACCTGTACTTTCAGTCACGTCTGAAGATTGTTCGTGTTGATGTACACCTGTATCGGATTGTCCATCGTCATCAGAAGTACGAACTGGCATGTCTGTTTTATATAATTTCAATATTTCAAACTCATCGCTTATTTTTAAGGAGGGAATATATGTCATTCATCAATATGCACTTGATAACTAAAATTTATCCCTTGAAGCTATATTTTCACCAGTGTGTCTGAACGATCTGGCATTAACAGTTACTAAGTTATTCAGGTATTCTACTTTCATTGGTTGCAATGAAATTTAAAACCACTTGATACGTTCGTTTTGTTTAAATCTGGTTAAAAAGCTATTCAAATATTATTTAGAAATGACACAACCAACATCGCTTTAGGCGTTATACACAGGCTATATACCGCAGTTTACCTTCTGTCTAATGAATTGTTCTTGCAAACATAAACAAAGTAAGTGTAATATATAGATGTATGCAAAGTCAACAAGAACATCGACTGGCTTTTCAGATCCACCGGCAGAATAGGGGACGGTCCTTTAGTCTTCCATTTAGGAGACATTGAAGAAGTCATTAAGCAACCTGTTGTATCCCACTGTATGTGTATCGTAAAATGTGACTAATGTGGAACCCCCTACATAATTTTTAACTTTTAACCATTTTCCTCCTTTGGGCCCCACCCTATCAGCCTCTGGGGATGGGGCATGAGTTTATTTTTTCAAACAATCTAATTGCCATCAGCCACCATAATCATTCCAACAAAGTTTTAATAATTTACTGCTGAAAAAGGACAAAATATTCTCAAAAGTGTTATATCCCTTTATAAACTAAAGTAAACTTTACACTCTCCTCAAGCGAGAATAGATGGCCTGTGATTAATGAAATTAAAAGAAGATAAAGCTCCTGATGGACTCTTCATCCATGCACAGAATTTGATTGTAGTACATCTGTGTCTAAAGAAAAAAAACCGAAATATTGGTAGCTCTTCCCTTTGGTACCCCGCCCTAGCCCCTTGGGAATGGGCATGTCATGGATCCCAATTTTACAACTTCATACCTTCATACACCAAATATGATTCTGACCAAGTGTGAATAATTTCCTGCAGAAAATTGACAAAATATTTCGAAAAAAATTATTTCCCTATATAAACTATAGTCAACTTTACCACTGTCAAAGTGAGGACGGAAGGCCTTGGGGTAATTCAATTTACAATTAAGATAATGCGCCTGATGATCTTGTGATCCATGCGCAGGATTTGATTGTAGTACATCTGAAACGGTAAAAGAACATTTTTGAAATATTGGCTAATTTCCCTTTTGAGGGCCCGCCATGGCTCCTGGGGTTAGGGCAGGAATCTCAATTTACAATTTGATACCCTCTTGCACCAAGGATTGATCCTGCAAAATTTGGTGGAAACCCATTCACTTGTTCATGAGAAGAAGCCAAAAATGTAAAAAGGTTACGCACCACGCTCGACGACGGATGGAAAGCGATCAGAATAGGTCACTTGAGCAAAGTTAAATATCCCCTACTCGGTAACATAAATAGTAACGTTTCAGTTTGAATTGTGATGCATACCAGTATCTTCAGCCACCACAGGAGATTGCTCTTTTGGTTGTACACCTGTACGGGATTGTTGTTCAAATGGTGGTACACCTGTACGGGACTGTTGTTCATTTGGTGGTACACCTGTACGGGACTTTTGTTCTTTCGGTGGTACACCTGTACGGGACTGTTTTTCATTTGGTGGCACACCTGTACAGGATTGTTCATTGTCATAAAAGGAACAGGATGGCGTGTCTGCATTATACAATACCAACCCATCTAAAGGTTGTAAAGACATATATGTTACCCTAAATCATAACAATAAATGTGCGAATACAGTTGAAATAAAAATGACAACATATACAACACTACAGTGGTTCCAGTACCGGTTACAAAATCGCATTCTCCCACTAACCAATTACTTGAAAACTATTGGTGTTTTGAATACTGATGTGAATAACTAGCTATGTAACAAGAAGGACCTGTGTTCTTTAAGAACTATGTAAAATACGTACACAGATAGCTCGTTAAACACGGCAATATTGATAGAACTACTTTCACACCATGGTTTGATGTTTTATAAATATGCCATATATGTATTAGTGTCAATACATAAGGATTTATGAAAATTCATAATAGAACCAGGACGCTGCTAAAATATTTGAAGTAACTTATGTTTAAATTATTGACATTACTTTTGCATACATTATATACAAACGTTTCTGATCAACCACATACATCATTTTCCAAATAGTTGGTAAACAGGTCTTGTTATCAATAACTGCAAACTTAAATATTGCATGAACAATTATCTTTAATATATTTGTAATACTTCCTTATTCAAGTGTTCCTGACTACAAATAGTTGTAGACAAACTGTTATACATACCTGTACTGTCAGTCCCGTCTGAAGATTGTTCGTGTTGATGTACACCTGTATCGAATTGTCCATCGTCATCAGAAGTACGACTTGGCATGTCTGTATTATACAATGTCAACATTTCAAACTCATCGCTTATTTTTAAGGAGGAAATATGTGCCATTCATCAATATGCAATTGATTGTTGAAATTTATCCTTTGAAGCTATATTTTCACCAGTTTGTCTGAACAATCTGGCATGAACAGTTACTTAGTTTTTCAGATATACTACTTTCATTGGTTGCAATGAAATTTAAAACCACTTAATACGTTCGTTTGTTTAAATCTGGTTAAAGGAGCTATACAAATATTATTTAGAAATGCCACAACCAACATCGCTTTAGGCGTTATATACAGGATATCTACCTCAATTTACCTTCTGTCTAATGAATTATTCTTGCAAACATAAATAAAATAATTGTCATATATACATGCATGCATAGTCATCAGGGGCATCGATTGGCTTTTGAGATCAACCGGCAGAATTGGGGATGGTTCTTTAGTCTTCCATTTAGGAGACAGTGAAGAAATCATTGGGGCATTATCTTATTTTTTCAAACAATCTACACCTGTACGGGATTGTTGTTCAAATAGTGGTACACCTGTACGGTATTGTTGTTCATTTGATGGTACACCTGGACAGGATTGTTCATTGGCATCCGTTATATACAGGATATCTACCTAAATTTACCTTCTGTCTAATGATTTATTCTTGCAAACATTAATAAAATAATTGTCATATAAACATGCATGCATAGTCATCAGGGGCATCGATTGGCTTTTGTGATCAACCGGCAGAATTGGGGATGGTGCTTTAGTCTTCCATTTAGGAGACAGTGAAGAAATCATTGGGGCATTATCTTATTTTTTCAACCAATCTAATTGCCATCAAGCTCCATAATCATTCCAACAAAGTTTTAATAATTTACTGCTGAAAAAAGACAAAATATTCTCAAAAGTGGTATTTCCCTTTATAAACTAAAGTACACTTTACACTCTCCTCCAGAGAGGATAGATGGCCTGTGATTAATGAAATTAAAAGTAAATAAAGCTCCTGATGGATTTTTCATCCATGCACAGAATTTGCTTGTAGTACATCTGTGTCTAAAGAAAAATTTCGAAATATTGGTAGCTCTTCCCTTTGGTACCCCGCCCTAGCCCCTTGGGATTGGGCATGTCATGGATCCCAATTTTACAACTTCATACCTTTATACACCAAATATGATTCTGACCAAGTGTGAACAATTTCCTGCAGAAAATTGACAAAATATTTCGAAAAAAGTGTTTTCCCTATATAAACTATAGTCAACTTTACCCCTGCCAAAGTGAGAACGGGAGGCCTTGGGGTAATTCAATTTACAATTTAGATAATGCGCCTGATGCTCTTGTGATCCATGCGCAGGATTTGATTGTAGTACATCTGAATCGGTAAAAGATGGTTGGATAATTTTCCCTTTTGAGGCCCCGCCATGGCTCCTGTGGTTAGGGCAGGCATCTCATTTTACAATTTGATACCCTCTTGCACCAAGGATTGCCCCTGTCAAATTTAGTGGAAACCCATTCACTTGTTCATGAGAAGGAGCCAAAAATGTAAAAAGTTTACGCACCACACACGACGACGGATGGAAAGCGATCAGAATAGGTCACTTGAGCAAAGTTAAATATCCCCTACTCGGTAACATAAATAGTAACGTTTTAGTTTGAATTGTGATGCATACCAGTATCTTCAGCCACCACGGGAGATTGTTCTTTTGGTGGTACACCTGTACGGTATTGTTGTTCATTTGATGGTACACCTGTACAGGATTGTTCATTGGCATCAGAAGAACAGGAAGGCGTGTCTACATTATACAATACCAACCCATCTAAAGGTTGTAAAGACATATATGTTACCCTAAATCATAACAATAAATGTGCGAATACAGTTGAAATAAAAATGACAACATATACAACACTACAGTGGTTCCAGTACCGGTTACAAAATCGCATTCTCCCACTAAACAATTACTTGAAAACTAGTGGTGTTTTGAATACTGATGTGAATAACAAGCTTCAGTATGATAATATGTAACAAGAAGGACCTGTGTTCTTTAAGAACTATGTAAAATACGTACACAGATAGCTCGTTAAACACGGCAATATTGATAGAACTACTTTCACACCATGGGTTTGTTGTTTTATAAATATGCCATATATGTATTAGTGTCATTACGTAAGGATTTATGAAAAATTTACAATAGAACCAGGACGCGGCGAAAATATTTGAAGTAACTTATGTTTAAACTATTGACATTACTTTCGCTACATTATAAAACACCGTTTCTGATCAAACACATCATTCATTTTCCAAATAGTTGGTAAACAAGTCTTGTTATTGATAACTGCAACCTTAACTTTGCTTCAAAAATTATCATTAATATATCTGTAATACTTCCTTATTCAAGTGTTCCTGACTACACATAGTAGTAGAAAAAACTGTTATACATACCTGTACTTTCAGTCACGTCTGAAGATTGTTCGTGTTGATGTACACCTGTATCGGATTGTCCATCATCATCAGAAGTACGAACTGGCATATCTGTTTTATACAATATCAATATTTCAAACTCATCGCTTATTTTTTTAAGGGGGGAGTATGTGCCATTCATCAATATGCACTTGATTGTTGAAATTTATCCCTTGAAGCTATATTTTTACCAGTTTGTCTGAATGATCTGGCATGAACAGTTACTTAGTTTTTCAGATATACTACTTTCATTGGTTGCAATGAAATTTAAAACAACTTAATACGTTCGTTTTGTTTAAATCTGGTTAAAGGAGCTATACAAATATCATTTAGAAATGACACAACCAACATCGCTTTAGGCGTTATACACAGGATATATACCGCAGTTTACCTTCTGTCTAATGAATTATTCTTGCAAACATAAATAAAATAATTGTAATATATACATGCAAGCATAGTCATCAGGAGCATCGATTGGCTTTTGAGATCCACCGGCAGAATTGGGGATGGTTCTTTAGTCATCCATTTAGGAGACAGTGAAGAAATCATAAATCAACTTGTTGTATCCCACTGTATGTGTATCGTAAAAAGTGACTAATGTGGAACCCCCTACAGAATTTTTAACCTTTAACCATTTTCCTCCTTTCAGCTCCACCCCTCCAGCCCCTTGGGATGGGGCATTATCTTATTTTTTCAAACAATCTAATTGCCGTAAGCCACCATTATCATTCCAACAACGTTTTAATAGTTTGCTGCTGAAAATGGACAAAATATACTCAAAGGTGTTATTTCCCTGTATAAACAAAAGTAAACTTTACACTCTACTCAAGCGGGAATAGATGGGCTGGGAGTAATGAAATTGAAAATAGATAAAGCTCTTGGTGGGCTTTTCATCCATGCACAGAATTTGATTGTAGTACATCTATTTTCTTTCGAAATATTGGTAGCTCTTCCCTTAAAGACCCCGCCCTAGCGCCTTGGGATTGAGCATGGATCCCAATTAAACAACTTCATACCTTCATACACCAAATATGATTCTGACCAAGTGCGAATAATTTCCTGCAGAAAATTGACAAAATATTTCGAAAAGAGTTATTTCCCTATATAAACTAGTCAACTTTACCCCTGCCCAAGGGAGAACGGAAGGCCTTGGGGTAATACAATTTACAAATTAGATAATGCACCTGATGAGCTTGTGATCCATGTGCAGGATTTAATTAAGTATATCTGAATCTGTAAAGGAACATTTTTGAAATATTGTTTAATATTCCCTTTTGTGGCCCCGCCATGGCTCCTGTGGTTAGGGCAGGCATCTCAATTTACAATTTGATACCCTCTTGCACCAAGGATTGCCCCTGCCAAATTTGGTGGAAACCCGTTCACTTGTTCTGTAGAAGAAGCCAAAAATTGTAAAAAGTTTACGGACCACGCACGACGACGGATGGAAAGCGATCAGAATAGGCCACTTGAGCAAAGTTAAGTATCACCTAATCGGTAAAATAAATAGTAACGGTTTAGATTCAATTGTGATGCATACCAGTATCTTCAGTCACTACGGGAAATTGTTCTTTTGGTGGTACACCTGTACGAGACTGTTGTTCATTTGGTGGTACACATGTACAGGATTGTTGTTCATTTGGTGGCACACATGTACAGGATTGTTCATTGTCATTAGAAGAACAGGATGGCGTGTCTGCATTATACAATACCAACCAAAAGACATGTATGTTACAGTAAATAATACAAATAAATGTGCGAATATATAGCATTGTATAGCATTCCTTTTAAAAGAACAACGGATACAACACCACAGTGATTCCAGTACCGGGTACAAAATCGCTTTCTCCCACTGAACAATAACTTAAACTATTGGTGTTTTGAATAGTAACCTTTTTAATATGTGTTACAAAGAAATTGAAAGTATAGAACATACTTTCTGAGAATGTCCTCATTCTTTCAGACTTTGACAAGATTTGAAAAACAAAATAATGATAGTTGTTTTCCACTTAAATCAATTCACACCAATGGTATTTAACTTGGAATTATGGTGTCATGCAGACGTGTTTGATCAATGTATTTGTTATTGTTTCTTAACTGCTCGAAATTATGCGTGCATAATTATGCGTCTGTCTGTCTGATTCAATGTATGTAAGTCTGTCTCAATGTATGTATGTACTTTCCGTTTGTCTGTCTGTCGGTGTCTGTCTGAAAGTCTGTTTGTCTGTCTGTCTGTCTGTCTGTCTGTCTCAATCAATGCATATATGAACATGAATGTGTAGTATGAGTTTAGATATAGATGTATTTTCATGTGTATTTGTTACTGTTTCATAACTGCTCGAAATTATGCGTGCATAATGATGCATCTGTCTGTCTGATGCAATGTATGTAAGTCTGTCACAATGTATGTATATATGTACTGTCTGATTGCATGTCTGTCGGTGTCTGTCTGGCTGTCTCAATCAATGCATATATGTACATGTATGTGTAGTATGAGTTTAGATGTAGATGTATTTACATGTGTATTATGTTGGGTTCTTTCTATGTATACTAGTGCTACGTTTATTTATGCAGCTTAAATGTGTCTTTGTTTGTAATATAATGTTGTATATGGAATTTGTTAGGGTGTGAAAGAAGTATGTTTTGTGTTCTTGTCCTGTACTCTATTTGCAAATATTTTATTTTCCCATCGCCCTTCCTATTATTTTTTCACTCTTATACAAATAAACTGAATGGAGAAGATAATGAATGAAGAATGTTGAATGCTGAAAGAGAACCCTCCTGCGTGAGTACACCATATTGTAAAGGGGTTGACTCCAGGGCTCCCCAACCCTGGCAGCCCCTATCAAAATATGTATATATGTTTATATATATATCTGTGCTTGGAAGCAGTATACGTATATACATATTTATGAAAATAATTGCTGGGGAAATATATATATGAAAAAAAACGAAAAAACAACAACATCGTAAATTAAATATCACATTCTAAGTAACAAAAATACTCTTGTACGCTTTGATAAAAAAAACTAAAGGGCGTTTTAAAATTTGATACATACCATTATCTTAATCACTTCGCGAGATTATTCATTTGGTGGTTCACTTGTATTTCAATATCTCTATTTCAGTGTTGCATTAAAGGTTATGGGAAACTTGTGTAAAATATCAAAAAATGGTTGTAATGCTGAAAGTGAACGAGGCAAGGAATAATATTAAGAACGTTATAACGACATGAAAAAATATCCGTATTCATAGCACCTGGTCAAATATCTAGTTCACACAGAATTGGAGCCGATTACATTTTTGTATTTCTCTTTAATTAATCATCAATAACTAATCGATTAACAATTTGCAATTATTCATCTTGAGAAATAATTGTTTGGTTTAAATCTAAAACGTCATCTTTGTCAGAATGAATAACTAGCTTCAGTATGATAATATGTAACAAGAAGGACATGTGTTCTTTAAGCAATATGTAAGATACGTTCACAGATAGCTCGTTAAACACGGCAATATTGATAAAACTACTTTCACATAATCGGTTTGTTGTTTTATAAATATGCCATATATGTATTAGTGTCAATACATAAGGATTTATAAAAAAAATCACAATAGAACCAGGACCCTGCTAAATTATTTGAAGTAACTTATGTTAAAGCTATTGACATAACATTTGCATACATTATAAACCACCGTTTTTGATCAAACACATCGATCATTTTATAAATAGTTGGTAAACAAGTCTTGTTTTTAATAACTGCAACCTTAAATATTGCATCAAAATATCTTTAAAAATATCTGAAATACTTCCTTATCAAAGTGTTCCTGACTACAAATAGTAGTAGACAAACTGTTATACATACCTGTACTTTCAGTCACGTCTGAAGATTGTTTGTGTTGATGTACACTTGTATCGGATTGTCCATCGTCATCAGAAGTACGAACTGGCATGTCTGTATTATTCAATATCAACATTTCAAACTCATCGGTTATTTTTAAGGAGGGAACATGTGCCATTCATCAATATGCACTTGATTGTTGAAATTTATCCCTTGAAGCCCAATTTTCACCAGTTTGTCTGTACGATCTGTACCTACTTTCATTGGTTGCAATGAACTTTAAAACCACTTAATACGTTCGTTTTTCTTAAATCTGGTTAAAGGAGCTATACAAATATTATTTAGAAATGACACAACCAACATCGCTTTAGGCGTTACACACAGGATATATACCGCAGTTTACCTTCTGTCTAATGAATTATTCTTGCAAACACAAACAAAGTAAGTGTAATATATACATGTATGCAAAACCACCAAGAGCATCGACTGGCTTTTGAGATCAACCGGCAGAATTGGGAATGGTTCTTTAGTCTGCCATTTAGGAGACATTGAAGAAATCATAAATCAACTTGTTGTATCCCACTGTATGTGTATCGTAAAAAGTGACTATTGTGGAACCCCCACACAATTGGGGTTTTTCTTCCGTGTCTTCTACGAAAGGACATTGAAAAGACCACAATTGGTCTGCTGTCCCAATTGCAACACTTGGCCTTTTTTTCGTTTTTTATCTTCCCTGCGTTCTGTCATGTCTATCTACTTGGTGTTTCATGCGATGTCTCTCTAAGCACATGTTCTATTATGCCCCTGGCTGATTCGTGGACGTTAATCCCAAAACAAGCAAACAAACCAAATAAAAAACCCTAGTATACTAGTTTTAGCAGGATTTGTCGAAAGAACTGACGTTCGGAACATAAAGAATAATCTTCAGACTAGTAGTATCTACTTTTTTGTATATCTTGTAAATTTAATCAATTTTATAGAGAAACGTTTAGTCAAATTAAATTTGAACAGCAAACGTTGATCAGTTTCATTTTAAACTATAAAATATGTAAGCTATTTCCCACAGTATTTAGTATTTTGTCAAAACCTACCTGACCTCGCTGCTTGAGCACGATTGTATTCTGAATCAGTTGGTTTTGGGAGATCATCTTGATTCATGCCACCAACGCCTCTTACAGTAATGTGGATATTGTCATCATCAGATATTGTTGGATGACCAGCTTTATCCAGCAATTTACCGTTATAGAAAAGGAGAAACGATCCTACTGGGCATACACGCTTTTGGTATAATGTCGTTTGAATGCTTTCATAAGCATGTTTGTTGTCCACATCAATGTTGAAAAGATATTTTGAGTTATGATACACATGAACACGAACATAGCAACTTTCGGGATCGTTTGCTGAAGGTGTAAACGGCAGATGATGCCAACACGTTTTACTTTTACTGGATTCCAAATTTGCTTTTGCGTAAAATTTCGGCGGGGTGACATGTTGAAAAGTTTCCATGTTACAAGCGGGAATGATATTTTTCTTGACATTTTGGATGCTGTTGGCCGGTGCCCTTACGTTTCTGTTCTTGTAAAGATTTTGGCGCTTAACGGATGAAGTAAAGGAGGGACACTGAAATCAAGACATACAACGAGATAGAAACACAATCATTGAAAAGAAATAATGATACAGATATATTTAAATTAATAATTAAGAATATTCCTCAGTCAAAAATATTATCTACAATTTCTCCTGATAACGTATTTGTTTGTAAGTATAGGGCACACATCCTTATTCATGGTGCATTATGTTTTCTTCTGTCATGATAAAAGGAGCTTACTAAATCATGCATTTACAAGTCTTGATTTAAAATATACCCGTGTATGTGAATTTACCTTTGATGTAATATGATGGTAGTTCCTTTTCTTGAAATGTTGAAAGCACGTGGGCGCTTTCCTAGCAAGTTGTGGTTTCAGTGATGGAACAGTTGGTTGTATCTTAACCTTCTTCCATGGTTTTAACTTTTTGAGTTTTCTGACAGGGACTGCCGCTGGTATGTGACTTGATCTTGTTTCATATCGATCATGCTTGTATTCTGTATACGAACAGTAACCAACGTGGACACTGCGACAAGACAAGTCTCGATGTTGATCATTCCGTTTAAATCCATGTTGCAGTTGCTGCTTGGTTACCTGTTGTCTTCTCCCTTCGGTTATTGGCTTTGATCTTTCTAGATTCAGCGGAACCCTGTTTACTTCAATTTTCTAATGAAATAAAAAAAAATATATGGTAAATCATGTGTCAAAGAACCTTATACCAATGATAATAACACGTTTTTATAGTTTCGTTAATGAGTTTAATAGCCATGCAGATAAAAGTGATACAAACAGCTGTATTGCGCAGTTTAATTCATTTTGGAAATACTGCAATAATTTACAAGTTCCAACTGTTTGGTTTCTAATACTTTCCCTTTTCAATTATTGCTAAGGATATTTTAGGAAACATCGAATCCAAAATGAACCCTAAAACTTTGATTAACCGAAGTCAAATCAAAATATTGTAATGTTCTCAAAGTGAGCATCGGGTTGTGTCGACAAAATTATTAGGGATATTGATAGCAATTTGTTTTTGTTATTATGTCAGAACGAGCAAAAAAAGTCTCCCAAGATGGTCATGAGGGCATTTTTTTTTATCCACAGCCTCCACGTCCAACAGTCGACGTTTATCAGGGAAATCATTTTATCATCTATATATTACTGCTAACCACCTATCGATAGCATGATGAATTTATTAGCATGGGTTTTCAGTATGAGAATACTCAAGAAGTTGAGAACGACTTGTGAACAATTTGAGAAGAACTGGTTAACAGATATTCCCATTTCCCAGCATCTTGGAAAGTATTATCTTAACAAGAATGTCTGCTCGCGCCAGGTGACGTCCTAAGCCGAAATTAGTAATAGTCCGTCTTATGCAAATAAATAACCTAGAAGGATTTTAAAGATTTAAACATCAAATTTCCCTATTGGACCCCACAACTCTCAGCACCAAGAGGGTCAAAAACCATCGATAATTCAGACCAAATTGGGATAACAATCATCAATCCTTATTGTAGAAGAAGGATTTCAAAGGTTTTTACCTCTATCTCCCCTATTTGGCCCTGCTTCTCTGCCCCCAGTGGGGTCAGACACACAATTTATACAAAATTTAGTCCCTTTGGCCAAAGGATGCACCTACTGTTTAGTTACAACTTAGTCACCTTGGCATAAGCATGGTCCAGACTAAATTGGGATAACAACCCTCAATCCTTATGGTAGAAGAAGGATTTCAAAGGTTTTTACCTCTATCTCCCCTATTTGGCCCTGCTTCTCTGCCCCCAGTGGGGTCAGACACACAATTTATACAAAATTTAGTCCCTTTGGCCAAAGGATGCACCTACTGTTTAGTTACAACTTAGTCACCTTAGCATAAGCATGGTCCTGACCAAATTGGGATAAAATCCCTTAATACCTTTGGTAGAAGAAGGATTTCAAAGGTTTTAACTCTAATTCCCCTATTGGGCCCCGTAACCCGCCCCAAGAGGATCCAGACCCACCATTTATACATTATTCAGTCCTATGATCCAATTATGCTCCAGACCAAATTAGGATAAAACCCCTAACTCCATCCGGGAGTAGAAGGATATTTAAGGTTTTACTTCCATTTCCCCTATTGGGCCTTGCACGTCTGCCCCCAGGCGTTTATACAAAATTGAGTCCCTTTTGCCGAAGCATACTCAAGACAAAATTGGGACGAAATCCATTTGTCCCTCTTTTAGAAGAAGGATTTTAAAGGTTTTATCTCAGTCCCCTTGGCCCAAGCATGCTACAGAAAAATGTGTTAAATTCTCTAAATCACTATGGTAGAAGAAGGATTGTTAACGTTTACATCTTTTTCCCCTATTCGATCCCACCCCTTTGCCCCCATGGGGAGGGGGGGGGGATTGACCGTTAATATAAATCTGAGCCCCCTTGGTCCAAACATGTTCTAGACATGTTCTAGACCATATTAAGATGAAATCCCTTAAGTCCTACAGTAGTAGAACGATTTTAAAGGTTTTACCTCTATTTCCCCTATTCGGCCCAACCTCTCTGCCCGTTTATACAAAATTAAGTCCCCTTGTCCTAGGAATGCTCCAGACCAAATTTAAACTATTGGGCCGTTCAAGATAAGTAGCGTTTTAAGGGAAAATATGCTCTTCTGGCAGGTGAGCTAAAAAGTAATGAAACGTTATCGTGAGGAAAACAACACCATTTGAAGTGTTAATGTGCATCTAAAAAAGCCAATGACATTATAATTATTTAAAAGAAAAAATCTTACGTTTGCAACAGATCGATGATCTGCGATCGATGGCCAATGATCTAAGAAGTGTTTTGGAAAAAATGGTGATAAGTTGACATTTTTAACGGAGAAATATATAAGGTAGTGGTATATAGACGATAAACAGTTTATCACACAGTATTTGTCAGTATTTATCGTTCGAACAATATATCATTGCTCGCACGTGGATAAAATCTCGAGCCCACCTGCAGTGGCCTTTCGATTTTATCCACGTTCTCGCGACGAGGAAATTGTTCTCTCGACAAACCCTTAAAACATAGTGTGATAATCTAAGAATATTTGAAGCAAACTCGTTAGTATCAAATAAACTGCGACAAATATCCACCGATTTTTTGTGGAGCAGGGATGTTATTATCAGGAAAGGAATGGTTCACGATCGAGAAAGTGATAAAGTATTGTAAAACGCAAAGATTCTTTGGAAAATATAACTGAATTCAAGGGGACAATAGTTGTTTACTTGCCTGAATAAATAATATCTCATAACATAAAGGTTAAATAGCAAAATAAACAGATTTTACTTCAGGTAAAATTCAATGAAAACCTAATCAAAAAAAGTGTTTTAACATTCACATACTTTGTTCAGCGAAAGAACGAGGTCCACAGATGTTTCACAATACAGGTCAACGAAGGCATATCCCTGAAAGGAACGTTTATAACAAGTATGAATACAAAATGTATCTGGAGACGGTCACGTGAAACCAAAGGATAATAAATTGAGAATATAAAAATCTACAGCAGATCGAAAAAGCAGTAAGACATCTAGAGGGATATTATCCATGTAATGGAACGAATGAGTCCTAAATATAAAATAAGTGTCAAACATGTGAATGATTGCCAGTTAATACAGCATCAACATGAACAAGTTTGGTATCATATTGGGAAACCTTACTTCAATTTCGTTGGACTTATATCTCAATATTTGTCGGTGATAGTGTAATATTATGTTTTGCCTCTCCACTCATAACAAGAACCACTACATCAAGCACGAGGAACGTCCACCATCTTCATAGGTTCTAAGTAACATTCATATTTGCTCTTCGTTTCTCTTATCTGTTGGCATGTAAGCTATAAATGCACCTTGTGGTAGCTTCCTTCTGGTGTGTACAGTGTATGTCAATGTGCGGTTGTCGTTTAACCTGCTAGGTCAATATGCATATAAGAAAGGACCATGCGCTAGCAAACTTTACCTTTCCCAAGGGATCCCATCGATATTTTGACATCTACCCTCGTACCATCGTCAAAGGTTTTATGTTAGATTGTTTTTCTCTCTTCCTCATTTTATCTATTTTTATTATTAAGTCATGTGAACAGGAAATGGACCTTTTGGTACTCGTGATCAGAGCTGCATACTACTGTGAATGACATTGTCTTTCAAAGTCAGGTTGTTGTTTAACAATTTACTAGCACAGTACTTATTGCGTACCAAGTGGAATGCACATTTTAAAATGTGAGAAAGATCTCTCTTGTACTGTACTTCGTCGGAAAAGTGATAACGAACTGGAACCATCAAAATCCACGATGGTTGCCTCACGACCATTTTTTTTCTTTCTGATAAGCTTCAAAACGAAACGTGCACAACTTAGGACTTATTGAAATGAACGGATGCAATTTTAGACCCCCCCCCCCCCCCCCCCCCCCGTACTTTGTGAGAAAGAGCTCCAACAAAATGTTTGTCTCAAAATTTAAGGGGAGCCAACTGTTGTTTTTCCGATCAGACCCAATATTGTATATGCATAATTAATCGACAATTGGGCCGTTAAACAGTACTAAACTGAACCAACTAAAAGAATTATCGTTTTTAGGACGGACGGATCACGGGCAATGAGCGATTAAGAAAGCCCACCACCTGAGGATGTTGGACAGACAGATGAAAATCATATATCAAATACAAGAAGCGGTAGTTTAAAAACATACAAAAAATAATCAAAAACCTTTGTTAGCTTAAGTTTGCAAAACATTTTTAACTGAGATTGATGTGGCCTTTGTTTTTCGATCCTACTTGAATAAGGGTTTTGATTAAGTTTTGTTGTAGTTGCAGCCTTGTTCCATATGATTGCAACTACTTTGAATTCATACGTTTCTTTTTCATGACACATATTGACGATATTGTTCCTTTGCCGTATTGGTATTAATTTTAAAGACTGTACTGTAATATTTCTTTTAAGAACAAGGCTGCTGCTTTATTGTTATCTAATGATATGGACACAATCTCTTTTTTTCTAGTTTGGTTACATTAATTGCAGAATATTACGGAATGTTTCATGAATGTCTTAAAATGGGAGACTTACCTTACTTGGATGTATCCAAATATTCTGTACTTGAGCAACTACAATTAACGAAATCGTATTAGTGGCATACTTTAATTGGACAACACAGAAGTGCTGCCTAAGCGAGGTAGCCCCATCTCAGGGAACACAGTAGATGTCATAATAACTAAAATATCTATACCACAGCATTAAAAACGATTCAAGTTGCAGGTTAAATATAATTCCTCCAGGACAGATATTCATGAGAAGTAGTCGTATAAGAGTTTAAGCAAATTTGGCAAATGCAGAAAAAAAGTTTTTTCACACTTTACAACTGCGACATTGAAATCGGTCCAGTTTTAAATTAATATATGATATTAATATTTTTGAAAACGTAATTGTGCATTATTACATGGATAAATAGCCAATTAGGTGCCTCTTAGGAAAAACATTTTTTAAAAGCTGAAGGATGACTGACTACACACAGTCCAACGAGTTTACAGAGATTTCGAACCTTATTAGTTAAAACTATTGACTCGAATGAGATAAAAAGCATTAACATTTGATATTTCAATTTGATTCTAATAGTTATTTAATTATACGACATGCTAAACCGTTTGGTGCATGGACATACCTGTTTCAATGCCTTGCTTAATGATTCGATATACAGGGCCACGCTTGAGACCTTTAGGAATACAGGAAACGAAGATAAAGGTCATTATCGATTCCTGAAACAAACCAAGAATAAAATGAAAATTCGAACTCAAAATCGATGTACTAACGCAACATATTAGCAAAGGAACATTTACGTGGAGAAAAATGCAAAGAGTAACACAATCAGATAATCTGGATTGGTACAGTGTAGACAGCTTCTGTTTTATCGACAACTCTTAGGTAGCAGAGTACAGTTATCGTAGATATTCAGGGATTATGCTCACTTTCGCTCTCTGCACCCTGGAATATGTCATAGCAAAATTGAAGGCACGTAGATAACTGTTTGATTAGTCTCAGGTAATGAACAACTGACCAATCGCTAGGCTGATACCTGTTCTTTGAAGATTACAAAGGAGAGACGCCCGACTTCAAAGCCTGTCATTTTTTACCGTTGCGTGACCGATATATTCTTTTGATGTACATCAAAGGATCGAACTAGTCTTCCTGTCTCATCAACAAGTTGGCGCACACCCCGCCTCCAATTTTGCTATGACATAGTCCAGGGGTGCAGAGAGTACAGTAGAAATGACTTGATCCTAAAAATAAAGGGCATGTCTCAGAAAAACATGGATAGCGGATTTATCCTGCACAACACACCTACATATATATATATATTTATAAACTACATTTTGAATACATTTCTTTTCGAAGATTTAAAAAAAAAAAGTGATTTCCCCAGATTTGGGACACTTGAAAATCATGGTTACCACTTCAAAAAAAGATTTTTTACCCAAAATTTGACCCACGCAAGTGGTATTTATTTTCTTAAAACCTGTCTTAAATTGAATATCACCTACTCGGTAACAGAAATCCTGACGTTTTAGCATAGGTCGTTCAACTGGATTTTTCACAATATTTATATTTACTTAACTATCACACAAGAATAAACAAAATATTCCCCCATGAAATTATAATAGTGACCAGCAAATGCTCCCATACTTTGATTAAACTGCATCTCTCGACTCCCTGTGTTGTAAGTTTGCTCATTAGCAATTGACATCTAACACAGAAATCCTTGTATTCGGAGCAAGATAGACAAAAGGCCTATGGGCCTTAACGGTCACCCGAGTTCTGATATATTTATACAGAGAGTTGATTTTGTTTTAAAAACGTGAACAGAAATATTATTCAAAGTGACAAAAAAAACAATAAAACCACCTTATTCAATATCTAGCATACAGATTTAAGACTGAAAAGTATTTGAAATTAGCACCTCTAATTCTAAACAAGGAAAATTTAGCACACTGACTCCATTGGGCCCCGTCCAACAGCCCTTCGGGGTAGGGCTGGCTCAACATTTTCAAAATATCAACTCAGGGTTATAATTCCAATCAAGTTATCAACATGTTATATCCAAAGTATCATTTGCCAATATAAACCATAATAAATGTTGCCCCCCCCCCTCCTCCTTCCCCAGGCTTAAACGTGAGACCCTAGGGTCATACAATTCACAATTGTAGTAGAGCACCTTAAAATCCTTCCATCTTTGAAGAGTATTTGATGCTACCATATATGGGTCTTGAGAAGAAGAAATTGAAATTTCAGTCAATTTGACCAGTTTTGGCCCCACCCATCAGCCCCTGGGGGTCAGCTATGGCTGGTATGTGCATACCACCAAACTACTATCCAATGCTGATAATGCTAACCCAAATTGAATTACTTACAGTTGAAATTAAACAAATGATGGTCAAAAATGTGATTTCCCTTTATAAACTATAGTAAAGTTTAGCCCCTCCCCAGGGGAAAAAGGTGAGACCCCAGAATCATGAGATGCACAATTTTGGTAAAGCACCTTAAGACCCTTCCATCTATGAAGAGTTGTTGATTCTACCATATCTGGGTCTTGAAAGGAAGATTTTTGAAATTTCAGTCAATTCGACCCGTTTTGGCCCCACCGATCAGCCCCTTGGGGGTAAGTCAGGGCTGATATGTGCATACATTTTGTACCATCAAACTGCCATCCAATGCTGATAATGCTAACCAAGCTTGAAATAATTCCAATGGAAATTAAACAAATACTGGTACAAAATGTGATTTCTCTATATAAACTATAGTAAGGTTTATCCCCTCCCCAGGGAGAAACATGCGACCCCAGGGTCATGAAATTCACAACTTTGGTAAAGCACCATAAGACCCTTCCATCTATGAAGAGTATTTGATTCTACCATATCTGGTTCTTAAGAAGAAGATTTTATAATTTTTAGTCAATTTGACCCTTTTTGACCCCGCCCCTCAAGGCCCCTGGGGGCTAGGGACCATATAATTCACAATTTTGGTTGACCTTTTGCCATGGAAGGTTTCTGTAAAATGTTATGAAATTGGTTCAGGGGTTTTGGAAAAGAAGTCGAAAATGTAAATTGTTTACGGACGCACGACGTACATGTACGACGGACGACGACGGACAAAAGGCGATCGCAATAGGTCACTTGAGACTTTGTCTCAGGTGACCTAAAAATAGCTACTTCACTTTGCACTGTATTATATAAAATTTCCCTATTGTATTTTCGATGTCTTATAAATAATATAAGATATCTTACATAGTACCTCAGACAAATTATAAAGTACATGTCTTATATGATATATTACATATTGCTTAAATTACAGTTGTGTGACCGCACAATGCACCAAAAATACCGTGCATACATCGTCCACACACCGGCCACACATCGTCCACACATGGTGTGCACAACTGGGCGATTTAACAATCGTTCGCGCCGTTGTGCGCTTCTCTCCGCACAACTGTGCGATTTGGTACAATTTGTTGATCAATATTACGGAATGAAAAAATACGGAAGGCTCGTATGCAATAATGTACACTGTACTTATAATTGTAATTTTTCATCACAATATTTAAGATTATGTACAATTTTACAATGCATGTAACACAGTATTACAGTGACCGTTGAACTGTCAAGAATGGATTTGGCTCCTAGCTAGGTAACAGAACAGGTAAATAACAATTTGATAAGTGGCCGGAGTTTTACATGGCCTGTGCCTGACGGGTAGAGCTGATATCCGATACCGTATACCGTTATGAAAACACAACTGAACGTTTAGCATTTGTTATTTACATTCGTTTTAATCTAAAGCTCCCTTTCACCTGGTTTTCACACTTTGGCATGTTACGGAAGTGCCCCGGGCGGGGGAAAACTACGGTCCAGGTACAAAGTGGCTATGTTTACCTGTGTTGCCGATACTGTGTTGTAATTTTTTGTTGGGGGGGG